ACTGTATGCTCTTTATCACTAAACTCACAATCACGCAGATCTAAATAATAATCTTGCGTCAGCGAGGTCACATGACTAGTGTCACGCCACCTCTCGAACCTTCGGGAATAGTCGGGAGATTACTAGATATAGGGTAGTCTGGTATATATATAAGAGGGGGACAATGTGTGTAGGTAAGGAGTAATCGAACTGCACTCAGAGAGAGACGTATTGTTGAAGTTAACTTCGTTATTATAGTTTGTTATAGCGCGACTGTTGAAATAAAGTGTATCGTAAAGTTGTATTCGGAAAGAATAAACCAGTTTTATTAAGTAAGGACATGTGTCGCTAAAGTTTCGTCGGAACGAAGTTACGGAAAATCAATTAACAAACGGAGACGTAACAATAATCTTTCGACGTGTATTTATACCCCGAGAGAAGCCTAGAACATTCCAAGCAATACTAGATATTCTGATGCAATAATACTCAATTAAAGCAACAAGAAAAATTCAGAATGTTCTTGTAACATGACAATATAAGAATCGCTAACTCATAACAATTGAATGTGCATGTTACACAATGTACGATTTGTAAAAAATCTTGCTGTAAGCTCTAGTTTCTAAAAATAACTAAATATGACACCCACACTATAAAAAAAATCCAAATAACAGAATGAGGCGACAATGTGAAACTGATTGCAGTTATATACAAATATGTTTTGCTAGCACAAGAAAAGGATTGGCACACGAAGACCAAGGTACAATACCAGCAGCTACTAAAGCACTAGTACTGTACAACATAGCTTTGCTGCTTTAGTAGCTAATGAAGCCTTTGAATAGCCACCTTATGTTGTACTATGCATAGGTCTGGTGTTTTAAATTACAAAGTTTGTGTTCAACCATGAATCCCTATACATGATATTACAATTTATCGATATATACATAGATGAGTACAACAACCTTTACTCTAGATTTTATGTATCATATAAATTACAACATTATTTTAAAACTATATACTGGTCGCTTCTTTAAATTTACTATATATTTTTGTTTTTAGACACTGCTAATGATACAACCCAGTCTCCATCTCATTCTTTCTCTGGTGCCAACAATGAATGTGAAGCTTGTCAGGTTGATACTATGGAGCAGGTGGGCCAGTTGGCATGGGACTACGATTTTGAGGGGCCTACTCTTCGGAACCCTTTGGTAAAGAATACTGATATTGTTACGTCTCCGTTCGTTAATTAACTTTCCGTAACTTCGTTCCGACGAAACTTTAGCGACACAAGTCCTTACTTAATAAAACTGGTTTATTCTTTCCGAATACAACTTTACGATACACTTATTTTCAACAGTCGCTCTATAACAAATGCTATATCAACGAACGTCAACAGTACTTCTGACTGCAGTTCAATTACTCACTATCTACACACACATTAATTAATCACGTTGTCACCCTCTTGTATATAAACCAGACTACCCTATATCTAGTAAATGCTAGAGCATTCGCCAAGGTACAGGATAGTTCTAGAAAGCAGAGGGCGTGAGAATAGACACGTGATCTCGCTGACGCAACACTGCCCCCTCCTTAATATTGTTCGTCCCGAACAATAACCACATACAATAAACCAATAACAATTAACAATAACTTAATTAACTGTACAGAATTACAAACACAAAATTACAATTCAACAAAGTCTTTTAATTTTACGGGACATATCTTCTTCCATACTGGTCTCCGTCTTGTTGGCTTCTGCTTCACGTGGGGTTCATCTGCTTCATCAGGAAATGTCCTATCATCGGTAACAGTCACATCAGTGGTAGTAACTTCATCAAGAGCTTCACCGTTTCCCTTCTCAAAACTGAGTACAGTTACTTCTTCGACAATGGCTTCTTCAGGTGGCACGTGTTCAGCAGCGTCATTTGTTCTGTTGTCAACTTCGTCCCAAGTGAAATGTCCTGGACTGTGATAACTCCAAAGCCTGTTGGCATGCACCACTTTTGGCTTACGTCGCCGACCACATTTTATCCGTAAAGTCACGTCTGAGAGACGATCCACTATGTCATATGGGCCTTCCCATGGAGAAGACAACTTAGGAGACTTCCCTTTGGTCTTCCTGGGATTATACACCCATACCTTGTCTCCAGGTACAAAGCTGACTTCAGTAGATCTCTTATCATAAGTTAATTCAAACTTGAAAACGTCTGCTGATTCGATGAAGCGCACTTGATGGTGAATATCATCCAACACTTTCACAAACTCTGACACATTCACAGGCAACTCTTCATAAGGTGGGCATCCTTTATGCTTGGGTCCCCTTTTTGCACTACATGTACTGCATGTCCGGCACCATTCTTCCACATCTCACTCAATGTCTTCCTAATTCCGAGATGTCCTCCTGTTAAATTATCATGGGATTGACGCAGCACAACTTCCCGTAACTTCCTCGGTATAACTGTTTGCCAAGTCGTCACTTTCCCATCTGTAGTTTCCCATCTCCGGACAAGAATACCATTTTCAAGCTTCAACTGGTCCCATTGTGCCCAGTAGTGCTTTGTCACAGGGCTTAGACTAGACACCTTCTCCCAAGCAGGGCGCACAACACTCGCTTTTAGAAAATCAATCATTGGCCTCAAATCATGATCCCTCTCCTGTTCTGCCCTGATATCTATATTTGATTCCACTTCACCATCATCAACTCTTTCAGTCGGCTTGACTTCAGCCCGATGGCACCCAATCAGCTCAACCTCTCTTTTAACA